CAAATACCAACATTTTGAGATCGCTTAGAATGCTGAAAAAAAGGAAACATCAAGGCAAAATGCATTCGATGTTTTACGTAAATATATCTATATATATAACGTAAATCTTTTAAAACGACGTCAGATTTTGTAACACATATGGATTTAGGTAAAAACATGATTAAAATTGATACTTATAATCAGTATCTATCTATTCTTGTCACATATGCTCCAGTGGAATTTTTTTCAGTGTGGTAGGAGAAAATTTTCAAACCGTATATAAGTAGATTAAGGGACACTATATTTGAAAATATCATGAACAATTAAAAGATGAAAAAAAATTAAATCTAAATCTCATATGAATATAAAGGTGCAATCATGAATATTTTCTTAAAAATGTAATTTGTGATTTAATTACTTACATTCGCAAAGTAATTGTAATTTAATAAATTACGTTTCAGAATCCTTAAAATGGTAATTTAATTGAAAGGTTTTGGGCAAGTAATTATAATTTAATTAATTACTTTCCTAAGTAAGTGACCCCATCCCTGTTTTGAATAAATTCTGCATCATATGAATACAAAAATAGGTCTGCTAATAAAGGACCGCAATTGGTACCCAAATTGTTGGAAGATCTGATCTCCAAAAACTACATAGATATTGTCAATCAGAAACCCAAGTATCTTTTAATATCAACTTCAGAGTACTTGTGTGTACAATCAGAATGTGTTGTTTTTTTTTACAAAGTAAGTTTGTAAATGACCAATTAAAGGGTAAGTATATTTACGAGTTACATTTTTATTGAAAAAATAGCTGTCTATGATGTTAAAAAGCCTGGACTTTAATTTATCGTGGAAAATGGTTGTATAAAGTGTTTGTTATTGATTTTGGTAAAATTTTGTGATTTCAAATTTTTTAAAGTTCCCTAGAGTTTTTTTGTATCCACGACTGATTTATACCACTTCTGGAATATACTGTTGTACAGTACTCCTAGAAGTTTCTCCTTCACTGCTGTTAATATTATAGTGAGAGGAAAAGAAAGAGGCTTGGTAGAACATTTACTGGAACCCGCTATGTTATCTTTGTTTGTAAGGAGTTTTATAGAGCTTTGGAATCCAGTATAGGTATGGTAATTCAAATTCATTTTAATTGTTTGGAATATTATAAATATTTAAAACTGACATAGGGTTTTGAAGAATTCCATTCTTAGAAAGGGAGCTATGGGTATAAGTAGGATTACCACTTGCAGAATTAAATCCTAGGTCCTCTAAAATACCATTCAAATCATTCAAATTTTTGAAAATACCTTACAAACAAAGACGTCGCCCGCGTGGCGAAGTGGTAGAGTGTCTCCTCCAGAGTCGCGGTGTAAGGAGTTGATCCTTACGTCGCGGGTTCGAATCCAATTGTGGGACGTGGAGACCGGTCCTTCGGATGAGACCGTATAAACCGAGGTCCCCGTGTCGCAGTAGGTGCTGATCATGACTCCAAAAAGATCCCTCACTGCTCAATGTCCTGAGTGCCGAGCATAGGTCAAAATTTGCAGCTCTCCACAAGTGGTGGCGTCTCCATGTGAGTGAAAAATTCTCGAGAGGGATGTTAAACAACAAACAAACAAACAAAGACAATGTTGTTACCAGCTTTGTCAGCTGGGATCAATGCATACTATCGTGTAATCTATCTAATTCTTGTTTCACTTCTGCATTGTTGAAAACAGAAGGATAGATGGTTTTCATATAACCCCTAAATCGCTTAATGCGAGATTTCAACATCCATCTGATACATTTAATCCATTCTGACAGAGTGTCAAGGTTTTCTTTTTCATATTTGACCCATCGTCTGGCGTAATCTTTCACAGAATTCATAATATTTATGAAATTATGTCGCCAGTTGAAAGATCGGGGTTACCTAAATTTTGGCCCCTTTTATAAAAATTTTCCCAAACTTACTGTAGAACTATGAATTTAGTTAAAAATTTTAAACAGTCAAAGACTTAAAGAAAATTTCAAATGTAAGTAAAATTAATTATAATGGACCGAAGTTTTTATGATTTCAAACAAACTACAATTTTGTTAACTTTTAAAAGTTTCAAATCTAAATACAGATTTGAGCAAAAAATCCGTTTAAAGTGTTTTTTCTCTCTTAGTAAACGGTCAAAACTTTTTGTTTTTGTTTTTTTTTTAAATCAATTTGTATATTTATACGACTACTTTACCATATGTGAAAATAAGAAAAATTCAGATATTCGAAGCATATAAAAATAACTAATATATCCTAAAAATCGAAGAAAAATAGAGGAAAATCGGATTAGCCAATATCTACTTTAGTTAATTTATGTCAATTTGGTAGTATCATCTGATAGACCCTATATGGTAATATCTTTTTTCTGCAAAAGAAAATCATTTAATCTTTTGAAATAGAAGTAGGCATCACATTATTGGCAACAGTATTTTTTTTATTCTTAAGTTCAAGGAAAAAGATAATGACCTTGACCTGACCTTGTTTTTAAAATGAAAAAGTCAACTCTAATCTAATTGATAACAGCACTTAATGATAATGTCTTCTTGAATCTACGACAATTTAATTGATTTTTAAATACAAGAAATATGAGAAGAATCCCTCCTTAAGTCTCTGTATACTGTTAACAAGAGGACCAAGGGCCTTACCGGTTACCTGAGTATAATGTAACTATCCATAGATTAAGACAAAATAAGTTGATAAATAAAGTTAAGTTGCCCAAAAGCAAGAGAAATAGGATGATCAGGGATCATCAAAATATTAATTTAATTTAGTGCTCAAAAACAAATCTTAATGTTGATATATTTATTTGCCTGCACTTTCCCCCATTTGTCACTATCCTCATGCGGACTAAACAAAACAATAGTTCTAGAGCACTTTTAGTTAACACATTTCATTCCCCCTAGCAATGGCCTCTCGTAGTCTTTGATTGATTGATTGATTTTCACTCATACAGAAACGTCACCATATACCGGTAATGGGCTTCAAATTTACCTCTTTACTCGGTACTCAGGACCATTGAGCAGTGAGGGTTCTTTATCGTGCCAACACCTACCATGACACGGGGCCTCGGTTTTTAAGGTCTCATCCGAAAGACCCGCAACTTTCACAAGTACCGAGCGCTTGGCGAAGGGACAGTTGTACCTATTTTTTTATCGACTTAGGTCAGTCGCGGCCGTGATTCGAACACCCGACCTTCCGATCAAGGAGCGAGCGCTCTACCGACTGAGCTACCGTGACGGTCTCTTAGTCTTCGAAGATTATTTTAATATACAAAGATACTGTATTTTTGTCCCAATTTCATTTATCTATGATTTAAAAGTTTACCTGACCATTAAAATCTTTGAAAGTACTTTTGTAGTAAATATTATAAAATTGCATGTATAATTCTGTTATTCAATTGACCTTCTAAGTTATATTAATTACAGTGATTAGGTGAATAGCAAAGGGGAATAACTTCTTTCAGTAGAAATTGATACAATGACCGAAGGGTACAGAATTTCAAAATCTGGCAAAACACCCTTGCTTATTACAACTTTATATACTCTATTTGCCTCCTAGATGCCCTGGAGCAGAGAAGAAGATTTTCAAGAAAATAATCCATTTTCACTATAGTGTCATGTTGTAAATTTTGAATTTACAGGATGGCAGTAAATACAAAATTTTGTATTTACTGCCACCCGGTAAATTCAAAATTTACAACATGACAATAGATTCAATATAGCCCCACCCTAATTCAAAAGCCCCTGATCCAGGGGCCAAGATAGATATTCACAATTTTGGAAGAGGCACACTTGCTCATCATAACCATGCACTAAGTATGTTTCCTTAATAACAATGGACAGAGAAGAAGATTTTCAAAGAAATAATACATTTCTATTATACATTCAAAGGAGCCTCACCTTAACACAAAAATCCCTGACCCTGGGGTTATGAATTTCAAAAGTTTTGAAGAGATTTCCTTGCTCGTCATAACCATGCATTTATTTTTCTGTTAAATACTAAGGGGCAGAGAAGATTTTCAAAAAAAAAAAAAAAAAAAAAAAAAAAAAAAAATTACGTGTATTTACACTGTATATTAAATAGACACCCCCACCTCGACATGAACCCCTGACCCTGGGGCCACTAATTTCACAATTTTTGAAGATGCATCCTTGGTCTTCATAACCATGCAGTTTATCTGCTAAATACTTAGGAGCAGAGAAGATTTTCAAAGAATTAATGCTTTTTCACTACATTATCAACAGAGCCCCAACTTAACACTAGAACCCCTGACCCAGGGGACAAGATATTCACAATTTTTGAAGAGGCACCCTTGCTCATCATTACTGCGTACTTGGATTATCTGCTAAATACCTAGGAGCACAGAAGAAGATTTTCAAAGAAATAATGCACTTTCACTAAATAATCAATAGAGCCCCCTCCCGCAGAACCCCTCACCCTGGGGCCACAAATTTTTCCCAATTTTTGGAAGAGGCACCCTAGATCATCGTAACCATGCACCTAGTTTATCTTCTTTATATAGAGGGGGAGAGAAGAAGATTTTCAAAGAATTAATGCATTAAATTTTCACTATAAAATCAATAGAGCCCCACCCTTACTCCAGAACCCCTGACCCTGGGGCCATGAATTTCACAATTTGGTAGAAGGATCAATGCTTATTTCAGTCATGCCAACAGTTTGACAGCTGAATAGGTGCTGAAGTGGGTGGGGGTATTTTTTCCAAGACAAGAGCTTTTGTCCCTTGTAGAGTTTATGTATATAGGTTTGGTACGTCTTTTCTAAAAGTGGTTTTTCTTGACTGAAAGTGTCAGAATCTCTATTTTAACAACTTTTAAGTGTATTTAAAGAAGATTCAAAGTTTTCAAAATTTATTTTACATTTAACAATCCGGAAGACAAGCCCCTTATGGTTTACCTTTCATAGCTTTATGAAATTACTGATCGCTAAAAATATACCGATTTTTAAGGACATATCGCTAAATTTGTGTCTGGATGAAAATTCTACTCATACGGTATATTCTGTGCAAAGTACTCTATAAGGGAAAAATTACCTCCACACGCTGTTTTCTGAGAATTGACGCACTTATTCGTCCCTGTACAGACCTTACACTCTACCTGTCCCGACTGATCTTGGTACTGATTAGATGGACATGATAGGCATCGAGTCTGCTTCCACGCATTCTGATAAGTCCCCGGATCACACTGTTCACAGGAGGACTTCCCGGTCCCAGCCTGATAGTGCCCGGGAGAACAGGATAAACATTTAAAACGTCCCTGGTTCGGCTGGCGCATTCCCGGAGAACACGCTATACATTGGGCTTGGTTTGACACGTTCTGAAATGTTCCTGCATTACATGTTTTACACGAGCTCTGTCCAGTTAAATCCTGATAGCTTCCTTTTAAACAAGAGAGACAGTTGGTTCCTCCCTCGTTCGGTTGGTACTTGCCTTTTGGACACGCCAGACACTGGGCCTGTTCAGACTGCGGCTGGTACGTACCGGGAACACATTTCTTACACTCAGTCTGGCCAGTCTGATCTTGATGGTATCCTGATGTGCAAGTTAAACAGCTTGTCTGTTCTTGGTTCGGCTGGTACATACCTTTTGGACACGCCAGACACTGGGCCTGCTCAGCTTGTGGCTGGTAAGTACCTGAAGCACACTTTTTACACTCGGTCTGGCTAGTCTGATCCTGATGGTATCCTGGCGTGCACGATAAACAGCTGGTCTGTTCTTGATCAGGCTGGTACATCCCGCTCGGACAAGGTAGACACCGAGGCTTCTTAGATTCTGACTGATAAGTTCCCGGATCACAGGTCTTACACGTGGGTTTTCCAGTTTCATTCTGATAGTTTCCAGGAGGACAGGAAAAACATTCAGTCTTTCCTCCATCAGGCTGGTAGGTCCCTGTTGGACACTGTATGCAATTTGTCTGTCCTGTTTTATCTTGATAAGATCCAGGAATACATACCAGACATTTTGATTTACCTGAGCGTTAAAAAAGCACGTTACTATTAGTATCTTTTTTTTCTTCCGTAAAATTACATAAATTTAACGTTTAATTTCTTTTTTCCGTGTCAGACTTTAAATTTTGACAAATAAAAAAATATAATCTTTGGATTAAAAAAAAAATAGAATTAAAATTTTGAAAGTGACACCCACTTTCAAATCCAAACAGATAAAAACAATAGGCTGTGTTTGATTAATAATGGCAAAACTATATTTGGATGTGCTTTACCTGCATCAGGTTGATATTCCCCTGTATTACAGCTGGTACAAGATACAGCTTCTGCTTTAGAATACGTTCCTGCTCCACACTGATTACATGAACTTTGTCCAATTTTATTTTGAAAGGTTCCAGCCGAACATTTCGAGCAAACTTTCATTCCTAGTTTGTTTGTAAACCTGCCCTTGGGACAAGGCTCGCAAGAAGCTTGAAAGGTCAAGAAAAGAGCAATATATGACAAGTGCCTCAAATGGCTCCTTAAAATGATTATCTTAATTTTACTTTATATATAGCTTTATTTGCACAGCTACATGTATACACGTGACTTTTATTCGCAATTTTCAATTTGATCAAAATGCCACTGATTAAGAAATATGACATCATAATGTTCACGTTTCCCGCCATTTTTGCATATTTTGTATAAAACTGCTTATTTTCAAGCAGTTTTTCTTCCAGAAAATATTAAGCGCAGACTTGAACAAACTTTATATTTTTACCAAAGATACCAGTATATCCAAGACTAATTACTGACAGAAAAAATTTGCATGTTCAAAGCTGCGCTCTATGTTTCCCAGAAGAAAAACATCAAGAAAAAGGCATATTTTTGTCTTATTTTGATTGGATTGCAAAAACAGCATCATTTCTGACGTCATTTTCAGCCTGTGAGTGCATAAAAATGTGAAAAATGTATTGGAAATATCTCTAATATAATCTCTTCTACAAAATAAAAAAGCAATTATACATATCTGAATTACATTCTAAATTGTTGATTTTGGGGGGCCAAAATTGACTCTTATCATATATAGTCCTTTAAGGTAACACGTACAAAGTCCTGTGTTTTGGATTTTTATAAAATGTATGATATGTCAGCTAAATAGTTAAAAAAGTAGACACACAATAATGGGATGTGGTAATGAAATATATTGAGATAACGAACAGTATTCAAGCTCAAAAGTCCATGAAACAATACAAAATAGGAGCAGAGCAAACACGGACCTCCAAACATCAGAGGTGGGATCAGGTGCCATGGAGGAGTGAGCATCCCCTGCCGACCGGTCACACCCGCCGTGTGCTCCTTGTCATAATCGGGAATTAACGGGAAAATCCGTCGACAATTCAGTGTGTAAATAACGGTCTAACAATTAGGATGAAAAACGTCAGTCAGCATTTGACTCAATGACAAATTGTATTTGCTGACAAGGTCATTGTATCGACCATAGAACTTACGAAATGATGACTTTAAACGAGACAGCTGATATTCCTGTTTCATCAATTTATCTGTCAATAATTTACCTCGTTTTAGAAATTGTACATACGTAGAGCATGCTCTTGCGTATCGAATCAACTGAGAGATATATACCCCGTATGCAGGTGATGAAGGTATATTGCTGCATAAGAAAGGGAAGTTGACGATTGAAAAGTTAAAGTCATCACGTTTATCATAAAGCTTGGTTGTTAGATTACCATTAACGTCTTTTTCAAGTAAAATATCCAAATATGAAACAGATGTGTCAGACTCTGTGGTATCTTTTATTTCAAGTTCACTAGGATATATCGTATCGACATAAGAATGGAAATAGCCATTGTTAATTGACAATACGTCGTCGATATATCTAAATGTCGAGTTGAAGGCCACAGCAAGTGTTTTCTTCTTTTCACGTACAAGATTTTGGACAAATTCTGCTTTATATGAATACAAAAAAAGGTCTGCTAATAACGGGGCGCAATTGGTACCCATGGAAATTCCAATAGATTGTTGGAAGACCTGGTCTCCAAAAACCACATAGATATTGTCAATCAGAAACTCAAGCATCTTTTTAATGTCAACTTCAGAGTACTTGTGTGTACAATCAGAATGTTTTTTAACAAAATAAATAATTCACTGTTGTTCTAAATTCAAACAATAATAATAAATAAAAATCATCTCTTACTTTGACCTATAAGTTCTTGGTAATACCCAAGACTACATGGTTTGCAGAGGGTCGACTGCCATTGTTCCTGATACGTTCCCGCTATGCAAATATCACACCACTGCTTTCCCGACCCAGCATTGCATTGGCCTGGTGGACAGGGTAGACAATTGCCTTCTTTACCGTAGAATCCAGCAGGACATCCTTCATTTAGGTAGTTAATAACAAGATAAAGTAATGAATCAATTTATGCATTGAACAACTATCATTGATTAATCTTTTTAATTCAATCACATTAAAAATAAAAGAATTTTCTTTTTGAAAAATTAACACTTTTTAGACGATATAATGAAAATAGTAGAAGAATGACCAGAAAAATAAATAACATTGTGAAGGCCAAAAAACCTTTTGTTGTGGAGATAGTTTTACCATAAACCAAATTTTAAGTAATTGCTTTTGCAAATCGGTACCCATCGTCTCAAGCCACGGTACGGAGTCCGCATATAGCTCTCTCCTTCCACGGTCAGAATGGGAGAGGATCGTTTTTTGCGACGGTGATCTGTATCTAACTTCATGAATTGAAAAATATCATAACATCCGACAAAAAATGTTTGAAAAGAAGAAATCTTAATATGCAGTCCTACTTGATGTTTTCGCTTTGTCGCTTTTATATTACATTAGTGATATTGTGTCCCCCAGAAATTTAAAATAACGAAATCTGCATTTTAAAATGATTCTTTTAAGATCATACAAGTTTGAAAATGACCTGGAAATATTTTTCATAGGTATTTATATTTGACTTAATTCAGTAAAAAACTTCAACTTCCCTGAAAAAAACATTCGGAAGTCATACTGAAGGACAACATGTGTATTGCGAATTCGCAGTCTAAACTTTAACGAATTCATATACGGATCATATAACGAATATTTGTGCACCTAATATTTTTGAGCGGGATTTATATTTCGCTGCTAAAGGAGCCATTATTATATAAAGTATGTTCATGAGTAAAATGCTTCCAGCTTTTGAAGGTTTTTACACATGGTTGCACCAAGTATGCTGTTATAAGCATGGACGACAAAAATATGATACTAAAAGAAGATATACCTGTTTTGTGATACTGTGTGTTGTATGAATTCCTTATTTAGATATATTTATTTATCATTTTGTATAATACATAGATAACAAAAAATACAAAACTTATACAGGGAAGGAGAAACTAGGTGGAATTTCCTTTCCCCTTCCTCGAATACATTTTACAGCCATATTCTAGACCAAATTCAAAGCATGTATAGCAGAAGATCACATTAATACATAAAAACATGACAGAAATAATCAAAACTAGAACGTAAGAGATGGTTTTACCTGTAGCAATACAAAAAGGTTGACTGGTGCCATCTACACACTTATAAAACTCGGGGCATGTGAAATAATTACATTTACCCAAACCAACCTGGAAATACACACTTTGTGTTAGTGCAAGTATTTGAAAAAAAAAAGGATTTTTGTTTTTTAAGAAAAAATTATCATTATGAAAAGATTTTTTTTATTGTGAAATAAAGTGACAAACCTTTGGAGCATTGCTCATGGGGGCATAGAGCGAGGTTGAGCTGAGGGTTCCAACCATATGAATAGCAACAGCATGACTATTTAATTCACATACAAAGTTATTTGTATCATAGTTCACTGATTGGCAATGATTTGGACGTAACATACACTCCTTGATGCAAGAATTCACACCAATGCCATGCAGTGTCTCTACTGTGTAACCATCCACTCTGTATCCTTTGGACAAACTATGGGTGCAATTCTCACAACGCACCGAAAATATAAAAGGACAGAAAAATGATATCCAAAAAATGGAACCAACTTCCATCAGTATATTTTCCTTCTATTGATCTTGAAATCCAATTGAAAGTAATTGATGATAGAATATCTATCTGCACAACGCATTCAAAAAATAATAATTTGTTCAAGCAATTCCCAATTTGGTGATGTCTGTATATAGTGCAAATATAATTAAAATATGATCACTTTTTAATGCAAATTCCATCTACGACTTTCTAGCATTGTTTATAGAATATCAGTCAAGTACCAATGAAGACCAAACAACGCCATCTACAATGTATCGATAATGCAATGACTTCATGTATTTGTAATAGAACGGACAATAATAGAAGAATTGACCAAAACAAGTATATCCATTAGATTTTATTGACAAGATAGAATATTAGTTGAATTATAACATCTTTGTTTATTTGGAAGCTTTTGATGATATAAGGTTAATTATATAGTTGCCTTGCACAGGTACACGACCAGTTCCTGGACAAGCCGTTTAAATTAGCTTGACTGGTTTTTTTCTGCATCACAAGCAAGTAATTACAAGACTTCAGAGTAAAAATTTTGTTAGTTTTATTGCCATATTAAAGGCTTAAATTAATAAAAACGAATCTAACGGTAACATTTTTTTCTTTCTCAGAGCAGGATTTCCCCAATTTTATCAATGCTAAAATCATATCAACAATATTTGGACTAAAAGTTTATGTGAATGTCAATTGATTTTTTAATGGAAACAAGCAAATTCAAAGAATTGTGATCCTCCGCTTTCGATGTCTTCGTGGTTGGGATGCAATTACTTGGGATATTGTTAGGCCATATAAAATTAAAATTTAGATTCTCATCCTAATTTGCTAAAAAATTGGGGCGGGTGGGCGGATTTTATTTTTTATTTTTTATAATTGAAAGTATCAACAAAACATTCGTACACGTAATTTTTACATATGTTAATGCCAATATGGATAGATTTTATTGTTTTCATATTCTTTTAAATATCTACAGAAGATTCTTGTTATAGAAAATTAAAAATATATATAACGTTAGTTTTATTAACAAATTATCAAGTACACGGATACGGCACACGCCAAACAAAATGAGGTGCTGATCCTAATAAATTGCATATGCATGTTTTCTCATCGGCCTTTTCCCAAATACCTTATAGTTTTACCAACAATTCCTGTTCTGTGTGATATACAGATATCACAGATTTACACTGTCCTGATACATTCAATCGTTCTTGAGACTTGACATGTTCGACATTAAAATATATCATATTTGCAAAACAGGATTGTGTAAATCTGTAAAATATTCTACTGAAAAGCCTAGGCCTGAACAGTTTTAAGATTTAACATTTCCTTAGCACTATTATTCTCTAAAGTCTTTGGACGATGTTTTACTTTTTTAATGCAAAATCAC